CTAAACTTTGTTTGGGGATTAATGGAAATGATCAATGTGTCAGTGTTTCATAAGATAGGCATTAAAAGCTTTTCATCAAACACTCATCTTTGTCATTTTAAAATTTTAACTTCTGACAATAACAATAAGACCTCACCTACCTGACATTTAAAGAATGTCGAGTGTTCTAGGGCTTCTTTTAAAGAAGTAAAATGTTAGAAAAGCCCCAAGTATACTGAAAAGCATGTTTCTTGTCTATAGTTATATTATTTATATTTATTGAGTTTTTTGAGTTGTTTATTACTAGAGGTATAATCATATTTAATAAAATGTTATCAGTCTGGAGAGTCCAAGGTTTGGCATTACTGTTAATTTGTCTTTAATGCTTTATGGGTTTTTACGAACTGTCCATTGGAAATAAAGGTTCTTATTCAAAGTTTATGTGTAACAGAAAAAAGCTTATTTTTTCCCTTTTTAAAAATGTTTCCTTTTAGGAATTTATTATTAAAAAAATTAGTAAAAACAGCATCTTCAGAAGATAACATTTCTCACTGGTTCTGTTTCTTTTCCTCTCAGAACCTCCGACCCCTCTGGGAGTGGTGGTGTTGGGTCCCTTCATGTACTCCAGGGGTCCTCAGCTGCAGCACTGGATAGACATGGTCAACACGGCACAGGAGCCCGTCACACTGTGGCACGGACTGCGCAGACCCACCTAATGCTAAAAGCATCCTCGTTTGAGTAAATATCAAAAACGAAATAAAATAAGTATGAATCAATCATCTACCATCTGTTAACATCTACATTTGTTAAGAAAAATTTCTACAGGAAACTCTGGAATACATCAAAGGAAAAAAGCTGAGAAAAGCTCATTGTTTAGTTTATTGACCTGTAGCTTTACTCTCTTCGTTCACTGCTCTCAAAGTGATGTTTTCAGCTGCTGCTGTTCAACATTTAACAAAATTTTCAGGTGTTATCTTCTGTAGCTGATATTGAACAAATCAGAACTCAAAGAGGAAAAAAAACTGGACTTAAATTCATCAGATCAGCACGAAGTTGAGTTTTTGCTGCCCCCAAATGGTAAAAAATAAATAAAT